TGTTGGGGGGAAGGGGTCGGGGGGGGGGGGGGGGGGGGAGGATCAGGAAATGGCGTGCTGAGAAGGAGGGGGAGGGAATCACAGTGTCTGTGTATGTGTTCAGACTGTGAATCTGAAGTTCTTAGAGTTCATGCAGGCCAGAGGCAGGGCGGAGGGCATGTCCTTCCCTGGGCGAGGGTGGGATGGGGAAGACCAGGGCCGAGAGAGCGGTGTTCTCGGGTAATAGCATGGGCCAGGCGAGGGCCACCTGGGCGGACTTTAAACCGTGGCTGGAAGTAGCCAGTGGCTGTAGCCTCCGATGAAAAGAAAGCTCAGTACTGCAGGGGGCTCTGCAGAGATGGGGGGGGGGGCGGGCTGTGGGTGGCAGAAGGCTCCCCTGCCTCCGTCCTGGCAAAGTGGGGCCACGCGGAGGTGCGGCCCAGGGCAGCGCTGGCCGATGACTCCCTCCTAGGGCTCACCTGCTTGGTGGGAGCCCGCCATGTGTGGCATACAGCACTCCATTCACTCATTCGTTTACTCATAGGCAATTATTGAGCGCTTACTGGGTGCCAAGCACTTTGCTGAGTACATAGATGATGTATCCTCAGCAGCACACAGCTCCTCCCACCAGAAACACACACACATTCTCACTCCTTCCCCAGCTGCTCCTCAGCCTGCTTTTCCCTCGGAAAATCCCTCTTTGGAGTCTTCAGTTCAGTGATGGGGGAGAAACAAAAGAGCATTTCTGAGCAGTTCCTCATCAGAAATCGCTTATCTCTGATGACCCTGTTTCCTTCTTTCTAGGACACAGTCGATTTCCTGTCTCTTGATTGGTCTTACGATTGCCAAGGAGGCCCGAATCTGCTGCAGGAGCTGAGGGAGCTGCAGGTGAGTCGGACATTTCCCGTCCGATGATGGGTGGCAGCGGCTCCTGGGAGCACATTTGGCGTTTACCGCGTGGGCTGGTGTGTACACTGAACTGCCGCTCACACTCGGCAGACCTGCTGCGCTGTATCCGGGGAACTTTCCCCCGAGAGCATCGCTGGAGGATGTGGGGAGGCGAGGTCTTCCCCGGGAAGGATGGTGAGGGTTGGCTGCTAAGGTAAATATTTACCTGCAAGTCCTGCTTTCCTGTGTAGAAATCCACTGAGAATCCAAATTCCAGATTAACAAAGACATTTCCTGGGTTTGGCTCCTGGTTGCACAACAGTGTGAATGTGCTTAATGCCTCTGAGCTGTACTCTTACACATGATTGAGACAGAAAAGTTTATGTTATGTGTAATTTACCACAATTTTTAAAAAATTACATTAGACACCCAGGTCTGCAAAATCAGATACCAGTTTTGGGGACTTTCTTATAACTTCTGACCCCTTCTTCCTGTCCCAGGTGTTGTTTTTCTCAAGTCTAATGATTCCGACTCCTTAGAGAGAGTATGTCAAACTCCTGGCGGGTGGGCCGCATGCCTCGTTTATTTAAACACAAGTAGCCCGGTGCATGAAATTCGTGCACATTAAAAGGGAATTATTTAGAGGAAATATTTTAATATTGCTATTTTCCCTTTCTCTATAATAGAAGTGTCAGAGATGAAAGAAAATTAGTAAAACGTATATGAAAATCTCCCTCCTGTCAGAGTCTGGAGCCCGCCGCGGGACCTAGAGTCAAGTCCCCGGCCACCACCCACACGCACTTCAAAAATCACATTTGGCGTTTACCGCGTGGGCTGGTGTGTACACTGAACTGCCGCTCACACTCGGCAGACCTGCTGCGCTGTATCCGGGGAACTTTCCCCCGAGAGCATCGCTGGAGGATGTGGGGAGGCGAGGTCTTCCCCGGGAAGGATGGTGAGGGTTGGCTGCTAAGGTAAATATTTACCTGCAAGTCCTGCTTTCCTGTGTAGAAATCCACTGAGAATCCAAATTCCAGATTAACAAAGACATTTCCTGGGTTTGGCTCCTGGTTGCACAACAGTGTGAATGTGCTTAATGCCTCTGAGCTGTACTCTTACACATGATTGAGACAGAAAAGTTTATGTTATGTGTAATTTACCACAATTTTTAAAAAATTACATTAGACACCCAGGTCTGCAAAATCAGATACCAGTTTTGGGGACTTTCTTATAACTTCTGACCCCTTCTTCCTGTCCCAGGTGTTGTTTTTCTCAAGTCTAATGATTCCGACTCCTTAGAGAGAGTATGTCAAACTCCTGGCGGGTGGGCCGCATGCCTCGTTTATTTAAACACAAGTAGCCCGGTGCATGAAATTCGTGCACATTAAAAGGGAATTATTTAGAGGAAATATTTTAATATTGCTATTTTCCCTTTCTCTATAATAGAAGTGTCAGAGGAGATGAAAGATTAGTAAAACGTATATGAAAATCTCCCTCCTGTCAGAGTCTGGAGCCCGCCGCGGGACCTAGAGTCAAGTCCCCGGCCACCACCCGCACGCACTTCAAAAATATAGGAGACCCAGACCCAGCTGGCCCCACCCCCATCAAGCCCCTCTGGGTGGGGGGCACAGCCTGGGGTCCCCTGTTAAGCCCTGCCAGGCAGGGGGCACAGCCTCAGGTCCCCTGGCCCGGCTCTGGGGCAGGGGGCGTGGCCTGAGGTCTTCTGGCTCAGCGCTGGGGTGGGGGGCACCGCCTGAGGTCCCCCATCAAGCCCCGCTGGGCAAGGGGCGTGGCCTGAGGTCCCCTATCAAGGCCTGTGGAGTAGGGGGCGCGGCCTGAGATCCCTGCCCTGGCCAGGCACCATGCAGCCTCAGGTCCCTGCTGTTCGGTCCTGACATTACAGTGTCCTGGCTAATTTGCATATTCCTCTATTATATAGATAGATGCTTGCCTTAGAGAGAATATGTCAGGTGTCTCTTACCCAACTATTAGCTCCTCTCCTGTGCTTGGTCACTGCTGTGCTTCCTTGCTTAATTCCTGGAATCCGACTGTGCCCCCTCCTGGCAGAGTATAACTGACTACATGCCTAGCAGTTTCCCTCTGGACCTGCCGAGTCCTGGCAGTGTTCCTACCCTTACCCCTGAAGAGCCAGCTGCCCTCTTGCAGGCCTTATTCCAGCCTCTGCAGGTTTGGGCACAAAGCCACGCCTTGCCCTGTGCCTCCTGGTTTTGATCCCAGCACCTCCACCACCACGGAGATGGATTGTCAGAGGAGTTATTCATTTAAAGGCCACGCTCGTTAATGTTAAGGCTCAGTGCTGCAGCTAGGCGGGCCTCCATTCTTCCCGAGGCAGGAGGCCTGAGATGGACAAAGCAGCATCGGTCCCGTCCCCATAGCTGTGGTTCCAGCTGGCCCGTGTAGGTACTGCTGCTTTTGTTGTCTACAGACAAGAGGGTCTCCTTGGAATAGCAGGTGCCTTCACCAGGCGTTTGAGTGCTAGCTGCTCGGGTTTCAGGGCCTGCTCTACCGCGGGCACCGGGCGGACACTTCTCACAAGACCTCCCCTCTCAGCACCCCCAGGACCAAGCCGCCGAACCAACGTCAGACACTGGGTCGGGAGCCCGGGCTGAGGTTGGACCTGGGCTTTCCAAGGACACCGCATTTGCCTCTCAAAAACCACAATAAGCCCAAGGTGTTGGGAACATGCTCATTGGGGTAGCCCTTTTGAAAATCACATGTGATCTTAGTTGTTTTGTAAGCACCTCATAGGGGCCCGGAGCCTGTGCTGTGGGCCTGCTGCCAGGTTTCTGGGCCGCAGGCAGCTCGTTGGGGTCTCCGAGGCCTGCAGACACCTGTGGTGACTGAATCCGTCTCTCGTCTTCCTCAAGGAATTCAACCAGGGCTTGTTGCTCAGCTCCGGGGCTGAGGCGCGGGGAGGTTTGGAAACCCCGGGTTATGCGGGTGCAGCACTTGGACACGCAGCACAGCCCTGGCTCCACTGCTGCTGGGGGATGCAGGGTACAGTTTCCCTTTTTACATGAAAACATTCTCAAGGGGCCCTGCTCCCGCAGTGGTTGGACAGAGCTGTGACCCCTCAGTTCATAGCCCACCAGCCAAATAGTAAACCTCCCTGGACAAACAGCAGCCACTCACTGCACCTGCAGCGGATCTTATTCCTCTTGTCTCCTCGGGCAGGAATGACATCCAGATGCGGCCAGCAGCTCAGAAGCTGCCCTAACGGGGCAGGATGACCACTCTGGTCACGCAGTGGTGGGGAGAGAACCCAGCTGGAGAGGTGGCCCCTCTGGTGCCGTTCGTTACTTGCCTGGTAGCATTTCCCAGTCACCACAGCAGGACAGGAAGGCAGTCGGTTCTCCCCGCGAGAGGGGCTGACTTGCGTCCACAGGAATCAGCTGCCTCCTGCACGTGACGCACTGGGGATCGGGCCCACAGCCCAGCCTGCGCCCCGACTGGGAATGGAACTGGTGTTCTCTTAGTTCATGGGGTCAGTGCTCAACTACTGAGCCACACCGCCCGGGCTCCTTTTATCTTTTTATTATGGGAGATGTCAGACATAGCCAAAGTATAATGAAGCCACCCCCGTTTCCAAACTAGCAACTTGTGGTTGATCTGGTTTCTTCTGTACCTTACCTCCCCCCAAACCAGATTGTCTTGAAGTAAAGCCCAGACATCCATAAACACCGTGAAGGGTGCACCTGACTCAGCTTCCTGTGGGAACACAGTCCCCTGGCCAGGGCGCACTGCCTCGTTCCTGGGCCTGACACAGAGCCTGGTTCCAGGTGGTGCCTCGGAAGCCTGCGATGAAGACAGATGGGCCTGTGTGCTTGGTGGGGGTCAGTGGGGAGGGTGGCCTATGGTATTGAGAAGTTAGCTCTTTCTCCTGCAGAGCCTAGAGTCAGCTCCCTGTATTAACTGGGAAGGCTAGAGGTAATTTCCAAAACCAGATTGAGTATTCGTAGCTTCTCATCTTGAAATATCGGTCCCTGCTATCAAAAGACGTACAGTTTCGGTTCACTTGCTGGCCTTTATCTTTTCAGACTATTGAGCCAAAAGTGAAAGTTTTCATCTTCAATCTAAAACTCCAGGACTGCCCCTCCACCAGCAAGAACTGGGTTGAGCTGCTCTTCAGTCTCTTCGAAGGTGAGTGGCCCATCACTGGAAAGGCTTTGAGTGACATTTGGTGCACTGATTCGGGGCGGGGGGTGGGGGTAGCAGTCTTGAAAGTCTGGGGTTCCAATAGGAGGATGACCCAAGGAGAGTTGGTGTGAGAGCCCATCCCCAATGGGTTTAGTGCCCCTTGCCTTCCTGTTGTTGGTCCTTAGCTCCCATCGACCCGAGAAAAATGGCAGGTTCTGTTGAGGATGCCAAGGATACATTGGTCTTATGGAAGTAAAGACCATCAGGCACCAGGTGTCTGGTGTGAGCATGGGAACTGCTCTGTGTCTGTCTGTCCACTTCCATTACCTCTCTCTCCAAGGTTTCTCACCTCTGCACCCCGTGGCAGGGCTGCCTCTCTGCCCCCAGCCAGCCCCTCTGCTTACCCTGTTCATTTCCCCATGACCTCAACTTGCACTTGGTCCTGGTGGGTACCTGAGCTGTAGGTCTAGGACCACCTCCTCAATAGCTCTGGTTCTTAACAGTGAATCTGATTGGTTGGCATGGTTCAGGAGGTTGCTCCTGCTCCAATCAGGTCAAGGGAAAGGTGGGGTCTATTAAGGCATTGGGGGCTGAGAGCCACTAGACCAGCGGTTCTTAACCTGTGGGTCGAGACCCCTTCGGCGGTCGAACGACCCTTTCACAGGGGTCACCTAAGACCATCCTGCATATCAGATATTTACATTACGATTCATAACAGTAGCAACATTACAGTTATGAAGTAGCAACGAAAATAATTTTATGGTTGGGTCACAACATGAGGAACTGTATTTAAAGGGCCAGAAGGTTGAGAACCACTGCACTAGACACTGTAGGAGGGGCCAAGGGGCATGTTCCTCGTGCCCTGAGAGTCACCCTATAAGGTCAGCGTGTGGGACATGTCAGTAGTGTCCTTCCCACCACTTGTAACCAGTGCTGAGCTGGCTTCACAGGCCTCAGGAAACTTGTCTGTTGATACCACGTACTGACCCTCACCTCTCACAGCACAGCAAGTTCTTAAATGCCGTCCCTTTCTAAATGGCTTCAATCGTCAGTTTTATATTTAACATATAGTTTACTATATATTTTTAAAAACCACCCCTTTCTGATATTTGATTTCTAAACCAATTGTTCTCCATGTGTGGTCACCAGACTGGCAGCATCAGCCTCACCTGGGAACCTGTTGGACATTCCCAGGCTCCAGCCCACCTCAGACCAGAACTGACCAGAAACTTTGGAGGGGCCCGGCCATGTGTGTTTAATAAGCTCTGCAGGTGACGCTGGTGCACGCAGAGTTTGAGAGCCTCTGTCCTAAGTCCTAAGTAGGTAGAGACCACTTCTGACCTCCTTCAATCCTGGGCCCGTGGAATTCTCCGCAGGGGCTTGGAACCATTGCTTAGAGCAGCGGTTCTCAACCTGTGGGTCGCGAACAATGAACATACATCCTGCATATCAGATATTTACATTACAGTTCATAACAGTAGCAAAATTACAGTTATGAAGTAGCAACAAAAATAATTTTATGGTTGGGGGTCACCACAACATGAGGAACTGTATTAAAGGGTCACGGCATTAGGAAGGTTGAGAACCACTGGCTTAGAGGCTGGGTGTGTTGTATATGTGAGGGAAACCATTGATTGCATCATGTGCATTGTTGGGCTTCAGGTAGAGTTAATTAAACTTCTTCTCTTACAGCCCTCGATAAAGACCAAGGGCTCATCATTGGGTCTGACATTAATACATTCCTGAACTGTTCATCAGATCTCGAGCAAAGGTAATGTAGATTTCCTGTCAAACCATCCATAACTGGTATTTGCGGAATACTCTGCTATTCTTTCACATGTGTCATCTCATGGGACTGTTGTCATCTGCCTCTCAGGCCAGTGAGTTAATGGTGGACATTTTAGAGGAGGAAGATGAAGGCTCAGAGGGGCAAGCAGGGAGAACCCAGCTCTCACCGAGTCTTACTCTGGGCCCCACATGGTTCTGGAATTCTCTGTCATTGGGCCACCTTTGCTGTGCACCACAAGGGCACACAGCTGGGATTTGCACCCCTGCCTTCTGGTTTACGATCCTGTGAGTTCGTGGCAGAGCAGGCGGGGGAGATAGATCTGAGCACCCCACTGACGCTGCGTGGTCTGAGTAAGAGGTAAGTCCTCTGCGTCCATTTCCTCGTGGAAAATGTGAGACAGCGTCCCCGTGAAGAGACCGTGCAGCAGAAGCCTAACTCGGGGGTGTTCTCAGGACAGAGACTTTAATTTATCCTGGGGTTGCAAATAATTTCTTAACAAATGACCAAAATTTGTAAAAGACATCTTAAAAAATAGAGCAGATTTGAGGTTCTCCCCATGATTATAGGACTTCGCCCACTCACATCCCAATGTGCTTCTCGAGGGAGCGAGAAAAGGACGGTGTGGAAACCCGAATTGGGAGTTCCCCAGACCCTCAACTCCACGGGGTGTGTCACCAGGGCAGCTCCGTGCACCATGCATTAGGGAAGGACAGAGGCCATCACTTGGCTGCCCGACCATCAGCGAGAGCTCTCCTATGTTCACCGCAGATGTTTCTAGCATGGCTCAGCCCAAGCTCGTAGGCTTCAGTCACCACCACCTCTTTGTACTTTTCCTCTCCCAGCTCTTGGCTGTCCTGTGCTGATTCTCCTTCTATTGTTTATTCCTGTCAACTCACTTCCAATCAGCAATTCACATCAACACCCCGAGCAGCTGCCACAGGTCAGGCTCTGTGCTGGAGTCTGCGCAGTGCAGTGGGCACATAGGTTGGACCTGCTCCCTGACCACACTTGGAGTCAGCTGGGCTATGACTTCTCAGAAAGCAAAACTCAAGCCCACTGGTGTGGCTCAGCAGTTGAGCATCGACCTAGGAACCAGGAGCCACATGCCTGGGTTGCAGCCTCAATCCCCAGGGTGGGGCTTGCGGGTGGTGACGGATCAATGATTCTCTCATCACTGATGTTTCTCTCTCTCTCCCTCTCCCTTCCTTTCTGAAATCAATAAAAATATATTAAATTTAAAAAAAACAAAGCAAAACTCAAGAGGTCATAATAAAAGGGGTACCTTGAGAGCTTAATGATTATAAAACCATGAGATGATACATGACACCAGTTCCAGGGTTCCCTTGATCTTTGCCTGAAGTGAAGGTTACACTGGCTGATGTTAAACTGACAGTGGGGGTCCTCACCCAGGAGATGTTGATGGAGAACCTCTGGGTGCAGGGGCAGGTGGAGGGGGTCATAAGAGGACTAACATTGTTTTATCATTTGAGATTTTAGACCAGCCATGGGCAAACTATGGCCCGCGGGCCGGATCCGGCCCATTTGAAATGAATAAAACTAAAAAAAAAAAAAAGACAGTACCCTTTTATGTAATGATGTTTACTTTGAATTTATATTAGTTCACACAAACACTCCATCCATGCTTTTGTTCCGGCCCTCCGGTCCAGTTTAAGAACCCATTGTGGCCCTTGAGTCAAAAAGTTTGCCCACCCCTGTTTTAGACTGTGGGGGTGAGACAAAGAGGCTCATCAGTGACTCTAACACAAGAGTGAGGCATGAAGCACAGCACTGCTCCCCAGAGCGGGGAGAGAGTCTGATCTGGGATGCTCTGAGGTGGCTTGGAGCAGGGGGCGGGCCGGCTGACGGAGGGACAGCTGGAGGGGCTGGGCAGAGATAGGGGCTTCGTGGACTAAATATCTAACCACGTTGGGCAAACCCAGGACTCCCAGCTCCAAGGTTTATGCGGGAAGTTCTGTTGTACCCAGGGGCGGTTTATTTATTTCTTCAAGACCTCTTCCCGCCCAAGCTAGACAGCCAGGGACAGAGCAGCCGAGGCTGTGCACTGAGTGGGTGTCGTCTGTGTCCCTGTTGTGTTCCAGAGTCGGGCATAAGTTCTGGATAATTCACAGCTGTAGCTCATCATTTCCCCTCACCACTCTCACAGCAAATGTGGGTGAGTTGATGCTTCATAACACAGGAGGTGCTTAGTTAGGGTGGCAAGGCCCAGGCTTCCTTGAATGAGGGAGGCCCCTCTACAGCACCCCTGTCACTTCCACCAGTTCTTCATTCTGGGCCAACCCAGTAGAAGGGCCAACCCTCTCCACATGATGGCCCTTGGACAGGGAGATGCTCTGTACTCCACCCCATTTTCCCCAAGTGTGTTCTCTTCTCCAGACCAAAATCTATACCCATCCTTCCTCAGGGTCGCCCTCTGCTGGTGGAACTATGCAGGCTCTGGCATGCAGCTTTCTAGCCTGCCAGACATGACCCATAGATGGGAAATCAATTTAGAGGTTTGATTTGAAACATTAAAAAACAAACCTTCCCCCCCCCCCAAAAAAAAATGGAAGAGAGGAAAGAATCAGAATTCAGTGCTTATAACGAGAGCATTTTTATGTTTTATTTCAGATATATTTATTATTATATTTTAATCCTCACCAGAGGATATTTTCCTGTTGATTTTTAGAGAGAGTGGAAGAGAGAGGGAAAAACAGAAACATCGATGTGAGAAAAACACATTGACTGGTTGCCTCCTGCAAGAGCCGCAACCAGGGCCCAGGTCTGGGAAGGAGCCTGCAGCCGAGGTACATGCCCTTGACCAGAATCAAACCCAGGACCCTTTGGTCCACAGGCCTACGCTCTATCCACTGAGCCAAACTGGCTAGGGCCAGATATATTTATTTCTGAAATAAAACACAAAATATATGTGGACATAAATGTCTATACATCTACACACATACATAGTGATATGTGTTTAACAATACAGATTCTACCATTCGCAAGCTATGTGATCAAGGAGAAGTTTCCATTAAAAAAAAAAAAACCACAACAAGATATGAGTTCATTTACATAAAGTCTGGAGAGGGGCAGTCTAGAGTGGATATAATCACCAGGAATCCAGGCTCCTCTTGTTGCTTTGTCAGCCTTCACAAGGCTACTCCCTCCTGGTGCAGCATGGACACCTAAGGTCCAGGCAGCAGGAAGGGGCGAGGAGGCTGCAGCCGGGCTGGTCTCTGCCGGCTACATATCAACAGAGGCGCACAGCAGTGCGATCATTGAAACTTCTGTGCCAGCTGCCAAATAGCTGGTGCCAGTAACTCATTTCTTTAAGTCTCAGCTTCCTCCTCTTAGGGTGGAGATAAATAAATATAGTCCCTAGCTCATAAATGCATTATGAAAGCCAAATGACATAACATGCATACGTTTTATCACAGTGGCCAGCACAGAATCAAAGCTCAGTACATTGACGTCAGCATTAGTATGACCTATGTTTTATAAACAATAAATTAAAAGAAAAAAAAAAGGTGTGGCATGAAAACTGAAGACAGTCCTCAGGGTGAGTTCATACAGAGAACAGTCGCATTGATACGGTGTTTGTGTTCACACAGGAGCAACGACAACTCCACTAAGAAGGGGTAATAATGATAATTTCCCCCCGACCAGCCACTTCCTGCCCGTGACTTTGTGGACATGGCTTTCCGCTCAGGGTCTCTGTGTCTTTACCGATTACAGACCTTGTCACTGTTCGTCAGTCGGGGGCATGTGTACTCAGAGTCATTACTTACCACGTCCTTCCATGTCACTTTGTCGTAGCAGGTCTTGTCCCCAGGCTGACAGCCTGACCCTGCAGGGTGCCCGGCAGTGGGGCTTGGAGACGGCCGTGGGCTCCTCGCCGCCCAGCTCTGCCTATCAGAGCGTCTGGGAAGCGTTCGCTCACCAGCCCAGGGCGGAAAGGGATGCTTTCCTGTGGGATGTTTTCCCTGAAGGCTTCCTCTGGGGCGTCTCCACGGGAGCCTTCAACGTGGAAGGAGGCTGGGCTGAGGACGGAAGAGGGGCAAGCGTGTGGGACCGACTCGGACCCCAGAAGGCCGCCACGGGCCAGGCGACTCCGGGCGTGGCCAGCGACAGTTACCACAAGGTGGACTCCGACGTCTCCCTGCTTCGCGGCCTCCGGGCTCAGGTCTACAAGTTCTCCATCTCCTGGTCCCGCATCTTCCCCACGGGGCACGGGCGCAGCCCCAACCTCCGGGGTGTCGCCTACTACAACAAGCTGATCGACAGCCTGCTGGACTCGCACATCCAGCCCATGGCCACGCTGTTCCACTGGGACCTGCCGCAGGCCCTGCAGGACCGAGGCGGGTGGCAGAACGAGAGTGTGGTGGACGCTTTCCTGGACTACGCAGCCTTCTGCTTCTCCACCTTTGGGGACCGTGTGAAGCTGTGGGTGACCTTCCACGAGCCGTGGGTGATGAGCTATGCAGGCTACGGCACCGGCCAACACCCGCCCGGCATCTCCGACCCAGGAGTGGCCTCCTTTAAGGTACTTCTCTTCTTTGCAGCTCCTACTCGTTAGAAGAGATAGGACGTTTGGTGGGAAAAAGTCATTTTATCTTCCTACCAGCAAGTGTTTACTTTTTGTTTTTTAAAGGAAATCAGAGGGAGGGAAGGAACCATAAAGTGTTAATGACCTTATTTTGTCCAAGCACAGTGCTGGCTCTTTACAAATAGTCATGACATCCTCAGAGTGGCACTGATGGGTGTGACTACATCCTCAGGGCAGCACTGATGGGTGTGACTACATCCTCAGAGCAGCACTGATGGGTGTGACTGTATCCTCAGGGCAGCACTGATGGGTGTGACTGTATCCTCAGAGCAGCACTGATGGGTGTGACTACATCCTCAGGGCAGCACTGATGGGTGTGACTGTATCCTCAGGGCAGCACTGATGGGTGTGACTACATCCTCAGAGCAGCACTGATGGGTGTGATTGCATCCTCAGGACAGCACTGATAGGTGTGACTGCATCCTCAGAGCAGCACTGATGGGTGTGATTGCATCCTCAGGACAGCACTGATAGGTGTGACTGCATCCTCAGAGCAGCACTGATGGGTGTGATTGCATCCTCAGGACAGCACTGATAGGTGTGACTGCATCCTCAGAGCAGCACTGATGGGTGTGATTGCATCCTCAGGACAGCACTGATAGGTGTGACTGCATCCTCAGAGCAGCACTGATGGGTGTGATTGCATCCTCAGGACAGCACTGATAGGTGTGACTGCATCCTCAGAGCAGCACTGATGGGTGTGATTGCATCCTCAGGACAGCACTGATAGGTGTGACTGCATCCTCAGAGCAGCACTGATGGGTGTGATTGCATCCTCAGGACAGCACTGATAGGTGTGACTGCATCCTCAGAGCAGCACTGATGGGTGTGATTGCATCCTCAGGACAGCACTGATAGGTGTGACTGCATCCTCAGAGCAGCACTGATGGGTGTGATTGCATCCTCAGGACAGCACTGATAGGTGTGACTGCATCCTCAGAGCAGCACTGATGGGTGTGATTGCATCCTCAGGACAGCACTGATAGGTGTGACTGCATCCTCAGAGCAGCACTGATGGGTGTGATTGCATCCTCAGGACAGCACTGATAGGTGTGACTGCATCCTCAGAGCAGCACTACTGATGGGGACTACATCCTCAGGGCGGCACTGATGGGTGCGACTGCATCCTCAGGGCAGCACTGATGGGTGCGACTGTATCCTCAGAGCAGCACTGGTGGGTGTGACTACATCCTCAGAGCAGCACTGATGGGTGTGACT